CTATCATTATGGTTACCTAATTAACTATAAACAAAACTTTAGCAATAAGATTTAAAATCAAATTAAATAGCTATTTAATATTGTTGCAGTGTTCGTCTTGTTTCTAGGCCAATTCTATAAATTGGACTATTTTTGATTTAGCAGAAGGCTTAAAATAATACAGTCTACAAGTCATCTAAAAAAAAACATACATATAATAATTTTAACTCTCTTTTCTCCTGTTTAGCGTGGATGACGATGTATCTCAGGCCTGTCCTTATGTGTATGTGAACCACACGGGCCACATCCGCTATGACAGGATGTTGAGGCTGGTTAGCGCCTGTAACCTACAGATATTCAGTTTCCCTTTCGACATACAGAACTGCTCTTTCACCTTCGGCTCCTACATGCACACCAGTAACGTCTCCTCTTTCACTGCTCTCCTCATTTCCTGCCATCTCAGCACATATTTGTCATGAAAGCATTTCCCTTAATGTGTGTCTGCGGTTTGTGAAGGCCCACTTAAGACTTTCGCATGCAGTAATTTAAAGTCAACATACTGTAGTAACCGAACGCCAATTTTGAAAAGTTTCAATTCAATGCCTTGAATAATGTCAAGTGGTGTAACCATCCATTAAAACATCATAAAAACATTTTCCTTGCATCTTGAATTCGTGTGAATGTACACACCTTAATAGTATTAAAAATATATTACGGCTGTCAGTTTAACGCGTTAACTTAATTAATTAGTTATGAAAAAATAACGCGATTAAAATATTTTAACGCAGTTAATGCACTGGCCCCGGCCCCAGACCTGTACGTCATCTTACATTTCATACTCCATAAATGCAGTTATGCCCTAAAATTCAAGATATTGGGGCAAAAATGCTGTTCTCATATTTAGGCATATATCATATGATAAACGATATCACACGAGCAGTGAGAACAGTCACACGAGTGCTGTTTGTCCCGAAGAGTGCAAATGTGATTTTATACAGTGAATAAGAAGTTAATATTGTGTTATAATTTAAACACAATATTGTCTGTTT